TTACTTTCGTATTTTACTTCAAACTATCGTTTACTTTGTTCAACTTTTTGTTCATTTTCGTTTACATGGCTATCTTTTATTTCGCGGCCCGGAGAAATATCGGAAATATAACTAGCCGAGCTTGATGTCGATTTAGGATTCTGCTTACAAATAATTTAGCCAATCATAGTACGTTAATTTTAGCCAATAAAACAACCTCATTAATAGTTATTTACCTATCAGCTCGTTTCCCTATTACCCAATCATGTACAAGGCCAAAGTCACTTTCCGCCAAAATGCAAGGAATGTAAACTTGTGTATATAAGTGGGTGTTTTGACACATCACGGCAGGAGTTTCAATAAAGTCATCTGTTATAGTGTACACCAGTTCGTCTCTTGTTATCCACCCCTGAACCTTATCTTAACAATTACACACAGTAGCATCCTTTTTTGGGGATGCCCGGTGGCCGAGGGGAAGACATGTAGTGGCGTGAAGCTAGGCGATTAGGTGCCGTACGCGAGCGCCGGTTCGAGTCACGCACGCAGTACGTGTTTACTATAATTAGACATAATCTTTACCTTGCCGTTTATTCGGTGTTATTTGCTTACTAGTCTTGTAAACAAACTGTCGAGTTCTAGAACAGCTGCCAATGGGATCACCCCTTAACTAAATGTGATTTCACACTAACTACGCTATATTTGGAACACTTAGGTATAGTAAAAAAATACAATTCAAGAAACGTATAACGCAAAACCAGACAACTGTCATAGTCCTTTAAATTGGCGGCTACATATAGAGATGATGTTAATTACAGATCCAAGCATAATATACACATCTGAATAGTAAAGACAATGACATTTGTCGGAATACACTTTCGAAGCTAGTACAGAAAGTCTGTTTCATTTCAAATACTGTGTTTCTGGATATCGGTGTGTGTGCTAAAGACAACTACGAACATCTGTTTGACTATTTGGTAATATTTATGCAAATCCACGTAGCTAGAGTGGAAGTAACATAGCAACTAAATATAGCATGCTACGTCGTGCTGACTTTAAAGAAAATAACTGTAATAGTGACGAAGGTTGAACCAGTCTACAGAATAGTAACCATGGTTACGGTGACGTTGGATTGTAGTTTAGATTTGTACCAATCTTGATGACGTCCTATAAGAAAAATACAAAAATAATCGACAAAGTTTTAATAATATAAGAATGGCTTGCGAAGATCGTTACTCGTGTGTAGATACACATGTAAATATGAATTCCAGCATATATTGTATGTATAAATTAATATCAGTTCTATATGGTAAGAAGTACCTTTTCTACTGTAATCTCTATCTATGAAGTCCACTCGTCAAGGTC